AATGTGAACTTACCTGACAGACATATTACATTGTTGTCTCAAAGCGTCCATATCAGCTTGAACACTGCGAATGACCAATGGAGCATTCTGACGCCCTTTGAACGACATGTTACCCAATAATTCCCTTGCTCCTGCTCCACAGCACCGGACATCTGGTGACCATCCATCAGCAATCCCCTGGAACAAGTCCGACGGGTTTTCCTGGTTGCGATTCGGTGGCGCATCGACTTGAATGTTAGTTGAGTCTTTTGCCCGACACATGACATTGACAATACCTGCTCACAGGCTGCCTTGAGATTAGTACAGTCAGCCACTCGACAACCCCTTGACTCCAAGAACCCACCCAGTAAATATTGTCGAGGGTCAAAGCCATCTTCGCCCATTGCTTGAATCAACAGAGCTCGATCATTGGGCTGAGTCAGGTGGATGCTGATTGCTGGGGAAAGAGCCCTTTCCATCAAGTTCTGGGACTCCACAACTTCCGATACACGGGAACTCTTCAACGATGGGGTGGTGGAAAGATGTTCGATCCCTCGACCTCGTCCAAACCGACCTTGGAAAAGGTCTTCATCTCTTGTGTTCATGCGCAACATGCCCTCGCTCTTTCTCACCTGAGGCAGATGCGGCTTTTGACACGGAGAGGGACAATTGGCTAGTGTGCGCAGTTGAAACCAATAAATAAGCTAGAAACGACTAGTCGAACCCGCTTGGTGCTGCTTGGATGAACCCCACCTGTTTTTTGGAGTGTGGGCCAGGACGGGGTGGCGAAGAAGACTCGTCATCAGAATCATCACGCCCACTGCTGGTGTTTCTCTTGGCTTTCCTCTGCTTCGATTTCTTTGTACCACTTTCCTCACTTTCCCCCTTTTCCTGCAACCCCTATTATTCTTCTTTGGTGGTTTTCTGTCTTTGTTCGGGGTACCTGTCAATTCATCTTCCTTCAACAACTCCCCCGAAACCCCACTACGGATTTCCTCTGCCATCTCGGCTTTTGCTTCAGATAGTTGCTCCTCGATAACCCCACGAAAGGTAACTCCATCTACAGCGGAGCCATTGGTCTTCTTGCGTTCCATGTCAGCCAACAAGGTCCTGGCGCAAGTCAGAACAGCCCCCCTGCCAGGACAAGCAAGAAAGAGGTAGATATACTGAGCAATCACTGTCATGCTGGACAGATCGCTTCCTGAAAGGGTGACCCAAGGTTGGCACAGATTTGGTAGGTACGGTAGTTGTTTGGAGGTTCACCTTTGAAACACTTCTTCTGATATTCTGAAACAAAGTGCTGTTTCTGACCCACGCCTTTAGAGATAATCCACAGCATACGTTCTTTCCAGGATGATTCTGCCAGCGCTTCCTTTTGTGCCATTGTGACTCTCAGCCGGAGAGCCGTTTCATCTTGAGCAGTCTTCAGGGTGGCAAGTGCTCGGCGTCGAATCTAAGTAGCGCACATGAACTTGGCCAGACTCTCAATATTTAGCTTAACATATATATATATAATAATTATTTATACTGTATATTACTATGTGTTCTCCAGATATTACCTCCATATGTATATATACTATATATATATATGTGTATTCTTGGAACCTCTCTGAGCTGTTCCCCAGTGACAGAATATGCAACACAGGACACGATTTTTCTGGTCTCGGTTCTAATCAAGCAGCCTCCCAAAGATCCCCACCAAGCTGATGGACTTTGTGCTCGTTCAGCAAAGTGTGGGACCTTGAAAGGATGATGGCTAGTTGCTTCGCTGAGAGGTTCTTGAGAATACGCTGCTTCTGGCCGTTGATGGCCAGTGCCTTGGGCTTCCTGAGTCAATCCAAGAATAAGTCAGTCAGCCCCATGTTCCAACAAACCTGGAAAGTTGAAAGAGTTCGTGTTTTTTAGCATCTGGTGACTGCGTATAAATCGCGTGCTCCAGATTTTAGAAAACATTTGGTTTGGTCCTACCCAGTGTCAGCACTTTTCCAACACCCAGCCAACTGCACTGTCTTGATCTGTGTATTTTGCAAACGCCAGGTTTGTTGCGCTACTGTCTGTCACATATTTTAATTACAGACACTGCACTGACACAGTCTGTCAGTGATCACCAGACCATTGCCTGGGAGGCTACGCTAAGAACAAGCTCTCAATGACCTCTTCAGCAACAAACTCAATCGTTGTCAAAATGTCGAGCTGTGCCCGTGTTTCCGCATTCTCATTTGCCATGTGAAGCCTGCTATGTTCTGAAATGAACCTTCGGCAAACGCCCAAGAGCTGCTTGAAGTCTGCGTCCTGAACACGGTTGACCTTTCCACAAATGGTATCCAAAGGTTTGGGCTGCAAGCCAAAATGTGCCGGTGCAGGAGGCACAGCCAAAGCCTGTGCAGGAAACCTGACTAAAGCATCTCAAATTCAGACAGACTGATAGACTGGTAACAAACACAAACACATAGGTTGGGACTTGGAGCTACTCTTATCCAAATGGTTGAGACACAGAGGTAGGTTGAAAAAGAGTTTTAGAAAACATTTCTGTTCAATTCCACGCTTCGTCTCTAGTTCACCACGATGTTGGCACCACGCTGTGAGAATAGAGAACATCGCTCCAACAGCTTTTGTTTCACTGCTGACACCACACTCCCTACAAATCACAATGCAGGCTTCTCTGGCCATTTCAGCTGCATCCACCCCGGTGTCACGAAGAACCTGTGTCTCACGCTGCAAAGCAGCTGGACACAATCGCAACATCCAAGCAATATTGTCCCAGCTAGCCGACATTATTGCGAAGACAGGTGACTACAGCGTTCAATGAACCCTGCAAATGCTGAAGCTTGAACCCACGCAAGCAGGGCATCACCCTGCGACCCTCGACTGCAGTGTTGCACACCCCTGGGAAGCTTTGGGATCTACGCAACTGGAAGGAAACAGGACAATGAACATTGACTAATGGTCTTGGGAGCTTAGTGTCCCTAAGATGTTTGGATTGGGGCACTTAAACAGTCTCTGTCCACGCATTTGCAGGCAGAAAAGCACACACACACACACCCTATTTCACCAAGTGTGTCAGCGAATCAATTAATTGTTACCCAACAGTGTCCTTCAAATCCAAATGGGGATGGTTGATCAATGTAGGGGGTTAATTTGCTTGCGCAGGCACCTGATCTTCCCGTCTTCGTTCCCCAAATGAACTCCGATACCACGAACGAACAGAGCTGCCAAACCTTCACGTATCCCAGAACCAACCCGGTTTGCCAAGCTTCACCCCAAAGCTGCTAGCAATCTCTTCCGTCTCCAGCTGCCACTCTGACTCCGCCTTCTCTGGCTTCCTGGTGGTGTCCGGGGAAGCCGGCCGAGGGGAAGCACTGGGATGGCTTGAGCTGCTTGAAGCTGATGATGTTGATCTCTTCTTCCTGGTCTCCTTTTTCTTCGCCTTCCTAGTACGAGAGCGTCCGCGTTCCTTCTCTTCCTTCTTACTCTTCATTTTCTTTGACTTTGACTCTTCTGTCTTCGGCATACTCGCACCCGGCTAGGACTTCTGGAATCCTACTCCTGAACTGGTATGGTCGTTGAGCCCTCCAGTTGACAGGTAGCAAGAGTCAGAGATTTCTACTGGCAGGACGAACCTGACAAACCTGTCCATAAGCTTTGTTTATATAATATATATATATTATATTACTATTATTATTATGCAATTTATATTTGAACTTGTTTGAACTGGTTTTACCACAAACTGTGAAGCAAACTGCGCTTGCATTTTTCTCACTTTTAAGTGACGTTCGCTAGGCCATTGCCAGCACAAGTTGCACAACCCAGAATTTAGCAATGATAATTGAAGTAAGTTGTGAAAACAACTTCCACTGCCCCAGGTCCCAGATCCGTTCAGAAGGTTCTGGGCTACAAACAAACCTAGACTAGGTGAGCGAGAAGCGACGCGCAAATGGCACCGACAGAAGAGGCGATACCCGAATAGAATCACCAGCGCTGCTGACATTCACCAAGGTCCTCAAATCAAATCGAGCGCATGCTTGTTGCTGTGCTCTGCTGACAATGGCCAACTCCAGGCCTGGGGGACCACTTACACTAGAAGACCCACTGACTGCTACTGGTAGAGCCCCTGCCCCTCTATATCCAAGGTTCCAGCTGGCTCACAAGGAAGGTGCATATCATCTAGGATTTCCTGCACCTGGTCAGGCTGACAGACTGTCCCTTCAATGAGTGTCCAGCGTTCAGTAACAGACTGTCAGTGGCCTGATCCAAAACACTGACACGTAATTACAGGCACCTCCCCTGAACTGATCAACCTTTTCACCCAAAGAAACCCAATCACTTCCAAGTGAGTGATTGCCTAGAGCATCCCATCCAGTCCAGGACCCTTGCAGACACAAATGGTAAATAGCCTAGGCGCTTTCTTGTGGAACTAACCACATCTTTCTTCAGCTTTGATCCCGTCTTAGCCTTGGCACCAATGCAGGTAGTATAGATAAGTAATATTAATAATATACGCCGTCACTGTATAGGAAAGATCTCTAGGTAGTAGTTACAATTGACAATAGTGATTGGTCTCCAAAGATTGAATTGGACTCCAAAGCAAACATGCGCTGTGTCAAGTCCAAAGGTCTGGCTTGGACGCCTTGCTGCTGGACGCCTTGCTGCTGGATGCCTTGCTGGATGCCATCTTCTTCTGCTTGGATTTCAAAGTAGAAGAGGAAGACAGCTCCTGTGTAAAGCAGAAGTCAAGTAGGAAACAAAAGAGCTGTGTTGGGTCCATCCATTGCAGATTAACCCAAACACATGTGAAAAAACATCCACTAAATAACAATCTCACTCCCAAGGTAATAAACTTGCTCCTTGTTCTGGCGTTTTCCTAAGACCACGAAGAGCTCGATTGAGCATTGAACTTTGGCCCTGGATAGACATCCTGAATCCTGAATGTCTGATGGGCTCAAGTCAGTCAGTTGTTTCGCCTGGCCGTCTAGTAGTGACATGACACGCCAACCCCTGTGTCGTTTAATGACTCAGGTGACGTCTACACAAAAAGTCCTCCTTCTTGCACTGAACCTGATAGTCTTGAGGCTGAGGTTGAGCAGGAGGTTGAGCTGCATTCTGCTTCAAGGCTCGATGCCGGGCTAGGATCTCCTTCCTTTGCACCATGCTGCTATCAAGAACCATGCCAACCAGGTCATCATTTCCAGGATCCTCGCCCTGAGGTGGAATTCCATTCAAGGCTTGCTGATCCTCAACAGGGTACAAAATTATTGGGTCAACAGTCAGATTCTCAACCTAAACAAGTGATCTCGTGACTGGGTTTGCTCTACCTCCTTTCTGTACAAACAATAATATTTATAACCGCTGCGATAACTGGCTGTTTGCAGTCGAAGAGAGGTCTGTCCTCCAGAGATAGCTCCCCTGGCTTCGGCAGTGTCTTCACCATGTTCTGGCAGAAAGAGCGAATCTTTTCCTCTTTCACGGAAGTGCTCAGGTGCTGAATCTGAAAAGCGAAAGCCCAAGCACGTCCAAAGTTGGTGGGGTACGCGCTGCTTTTTTTCATCATGTCCTGGTTGCCATTGACCCACCTGACACAGTCTAGACTTTATCTGTTGCAGCAGCACTGATTTGACCACAAATGCTCTTTAAAAAACTGCCATTTTAAAGCCGCAGAACACTAGCCGCAGAAGACCAAAAGCTGGTTTTAAATTCTCGCACCTCGCTCCTTTGGTTGTGAGCTTCTCTAATAGGAGTTTCCGCACTGGAACCAGTTCAGCTGCAACTTCGTAGATCCTCCTGCAGGGATGCACGAGCTGGATGTTTTCCCTCAAACCAAATGCTTTTGGGATGTTAGTTTGTTCTGGACTGCTCCGTTAGACTTTCAAAACATCCAGAAACACTGCAAGCTCCTCACCAATAATAGTCCGCACCACTGGCCGCGCAAGCAGAGGGGCTTCACCGTCAGGGAGCCAAATAGCCACAGCTGCACCGTCACTTTAAAGGTCTGCTTCACGGTGATGACCGACCAAAGAAGAGATGACATCTTGGCAGCGCTGGCCACTTCAACTCTAACTAGAATGCTCAATGGTGGATTAGATACAATAAATTGTGATCTTCGCAATTATATACATTCTAGAAAGAATGCCTTTGCCTCCCAATGCTCAAACTGGGGTCTCAGTCTCTGATAGTGATCTCTTAGTTGACTGGGTTCCCCGACAGGTTGCTCCACAGTCAGGCTGATGTTTAGCCAGATTGCAAGAGGAACCAGGATGCAATTGATGACCTTTGCTGTTGCATTGCCTGTCACCACATTGAAGGACGCTGGATTCCCTGCAAGATCCTGAGACTTCTGGCAGGTCTTTGTGAAGTTCAATTGACCATTGGTTGCCTGTCTCAAAGTTAAAGTAACATTCTGCCCAAGGAAAAATATACCAATGACCATCATTGATGACCAAGTCTCGACTTTACGTAGGCTCGAGCCAAGGTTGACCCAGCCACAACTGGAGCATGTAGGCTCAAGCATGCCAATGCCCACGCCCGGCAGCAGCTGAGCAAGCAAAAGACAGCACCCCAAAAGCCCTGTACGAGTGTGGGATGTTATGCGAATCCGAAACTCGAACATCAAAGGCTGCAGCCTGCAAGCCAGCTTCCTTGAAGGCACGAGTGATGGATTGAACGCCTGCAAAGATTTCCACCAGGTGGAAGCATGAAATGTAGTCCCAGCGCTTGCTTCGACCTGCTGAAAATTATTTAAGTCTATTCCCAGTGCTTGCTCCAACCTGCTTAAACATATAGAGATGGCCGCCTTGTGTCACTAATGCCAATCTGATCTAACAACCCTCAAAACCCTGCCGACACCTTCCACCTCACTACTTTCTATCCAACCCCTTCCACCCCAACAGCTCTTCCAGTAGAACCGCACCTTCTTCTGTGGCCATGAAAGGCATCTCCTTGATTATCCCCTGCTTGACTTCCTCCAACGACATCACTGGTTCCGGATTAGGAGCCACAACCTCCATGGCTCAACGTCGCAGCTGAGAACCTGGTAAGCCTAAACACTTCCAGATGTCAACTCAAACCTCAAAATTACAGACATGGAGAACGATCAGAATCATGGTATGCGTTAACTTCTTCAGAATGGGTAGTGCTCCATTAGAATCTCAGGTATCTGCATTGTCACATCAACAAAGGATGCCCGATGCCATACGGCCCGGACGTGGGAACCAAGGCGGTGAAAGGATGATTGATACTAGTACTGTATATTACTGTACTGTATATTCTCGCGCAAAATCCACTGCAAAATATCTTTTCTTTCATCAGTCAGTCGTTGGCTTGTTGGCCTCTGGCTGTGAAGGTACAGTATCACTGTTTTGCGTAGGGATCAGGAGGACAGCTAGAAATTGCTATCATACATTAAATATGAGTTATATTTGAGGATGTCTGCGTCTTCGACATGGCTTTGATGTGGCCTCGACATCGATCTAAGTCTTCATGCTTTGAAACCACCTGCATCTTATTCTCTTGCCTCATTGTTGCGCTCGGAAAGCTCCAACTTCAAGCGCTCAGATCGCTGACGCAAGGATTCCACGTGCGCTGATCTGGCAGCCAAGCGCCACGGACACATGGGCAAATTGGCAAGATTGAAAAGGAACTCGAAACATGTTCATAAAGTGTTGAGATGTTCAGAGATGTTCACATGCTCCATTGCCATCAATCTCATCAATACCCGTCAGCTTAGATGCATCTTTCACATTTGTTCATCATCTTAAAAGAACAAGGAAGTATGTTGAAAGGCAGCACCTGTCACACTTTAGAGCGCGCTGCTGCTCCAAGTGACTCTGCCTCAGTATCCATCATCTGTCACCATTACTTTGTCTGTGTGTGTGCATGCAAAGAAGAGGCATCCATTCCAGTCGACTCCTGGTGCGACAATACGAGGCTGTAGGCAACTGATTGTGATGTCGACCATGTAAGTCGCATGCTGCTGGTCTGCAGTACTCCGAAGATCATCAAGAGCCTGGCGAAGCAAACCACAGTGCTCCGAGTTAAAAAAGAAAGACGACCTTAATTCGGCAAACATTCACACATGTTGCAGTCTTTCTTTAGCCCGCCGGGGGAGGGGTAGACTGCTGAGAGGTAAGTTTAGTAGTAAGAGTTAGCTACTAGCTAGAACGCAGGATAGTTCACGCTATTCATTTGGTTCCTAGATTCTGGGAACACTATTCATTTGGTCCAAACACGTTCATGGGTTGGTGTGTGGGAGACTAAAGCGCTATGCATATCTATGCATAGTATTATGTAGTGTTGTGTAGTAGTCTTAGTGGTGGCTTGACGCAACTCATTGCAACTCACCACACTGGACAGGGCAACATGACATGAGAAAACGCAACATCAAACTTTACCTGAAAACAACATTCCAACATGACATCGGATCTCAAATACACACGAAAGGAAAACCAGCCTACAAGTAAACCATTGGCCTCTCACCCCTGCCAAAGTGATTTCCAGGAACATGACAATGTATAAAACTTTATGAACCTCAACCTGGTCCACTTTCGTCTATATGGAAGACCAATCTCTTTTCCAGTGCCTGTGTGGTCACACCAGTCTTGCTTCGTCTTGAAGACATTCACGACAAAAAGGCCAAGTTCGAAGAAAGAGGCATCACATTCAATGCACCCAAACTTGCCACCCCAACTTGCCAGGTGGCCAACTGGTCCGCCGTCATAGGAGGTGGCGACCAAAGTCCTGCGCTGTCAATGCAAGCTCCACGTTGTCAAAACATTTGGCCAAAAGTCGACAAAGGGCTTTCGGATACGGTTCTGCAAGTTTTGTGCGCCAGACCCCATTTGTCTGGCCCATCAAGGCCAAATGGGGACGTCCGGTAAACAAACAAAGCCCCCGCTTGCTTCCTCGGCAGTAATGCATCTCAAGAATCGATAAATCAAGATGAACTCCGAGAATTTTTGTGGGCTTCTTCCAAGCAGTTCCGAAAACACAATAGGTGACATCAACAGTCTGAACAAATCGGCGGCGCATGATCCTCAAAACAGCCGGACAGAGCCACAGCCTCGACCGGCTAGGATTCTCCATTGTAAAAGGAACATGCAACTGAAGTGCCAGCTGTAGAACATGACAACTAAAGTACATGAGGACGTTGCACAAGCGCACTTTCAAAGCATCGGATTCCTTCAGTTGTGGCAGTCCGAGGGGACGTTGATCGCTTCGCAGCGGTGGCGGCCCCCCGGGCCGATCTCTAGCTCGAGAAAAACTATTGCATGGGGTGCCAAGGTGCCCCCCACAGATATAGCCTTGTTCAAGCCAGTGAAGGATTCGCCGCTGATTGCAACGCTTTGTCAAGTCGTATGCAGCCCCCAACGAAATATCCCACAACAAACACGCACAGCCCATGGTTGTATGCACCGCACTAGCCAGATGACCACTTCCTGAAAAAATCTCCAAGAAAAAGGATACATGCGGGACAAACCTGTATAGCAATGCAGCTATAGGAAACTTTTGCTGATCTGCTGAACGGCCTGAGTGCCTTGCTTTTGCACGCTTGGATCGAGGCTTTTGAAGAGTTGTTGAAGCCGTCCCCCTTTTGTGTAATTCTTGAGGGACTTCACTGTCTGCCATCTGCCCCGGGACTGGATGCTTGTCATCTCCCGTAGACCCATGGCTGCATCGTGTGAGGCCCCCCCGTGTCGCAGCCGGTAGAGGTGGGGGGCACCTAGTGGTTTTAAGCCGAGTGGCTCCCAGTGGCTCTCCACGAATGTCACCAACTCGCTTTGCTCCAAGCTGAATGCCAACTCTGACTTCTTCCGGCTGTTCAACCTCAAATGCTTCTCCAAGGCTGGCCCCAGAAAACTCTGATGCTTCAAGTCTAGACTGATCATTTCGTCGAACTGAAGCGCCTTCGACGGAACCCCCTCTTCGTTTGGATGCAGCAAGATGGCATAGTGTTTGTATTGTTTTTTGCCGCCCCTGACAGGTGCCACAATGTCCTGCACTCGGATCCGGAAGGGCTCCGAGGGTCGGAGGTACAAGTGGAACATCAAGAGCAGAATCAACGCAATCTGATACTGTTGTACTTGCACAGCTGCCATTGCCAACAAACACACTGCTTCGTACGGAACCGGCATGCGTGCCCTGGGAGGGCGCAGTCGCCTCCAGCCTTTCATGCTTTGCTGTGTCTTCGGCAAGGCATGCAACCCTTTTGTGCCCGGCACCTTGTACAACACTGCTGCTGTGACATAATTTGCTTTGCTTAGGTCTTCCCCCTCCAGATACAAAAACTCGAGGTATTCTGTCAACAGCACATCCAGCCGACTCTTGTTCATGGTGGCCCGCATTCGACCTCCGCACCACTCCCGGAATTGCTCCCACATGGCCTCGTACTTCTTCCTTGTGAGAGGCCCCACCGAAGCTTCGCGAAGGCTGAAATTTGGATTGCTCACCTGAAACTGCTTTCTCCTCTTCGACCTCTGCTGCTGTTTTCGATGACCCGAGTCTGCACTGAGTTCTATGTCCCATGTCAGCGGAGCAGCAGGAAACACGACCGTTGGTGAAGCCACCTTGGGCTTCTTCTTCACTTCTCCACTTTTCTTCTTGGTGGCCCGATCCCAGGTCACTTGGATTCCCAGCTGGCGGTGGATCATCCCCGAAACATCGCTCCGGCACCGAAGCAATGTACCCCCCGCGCGATGGCTTGTCCGCAGGGTTCCACTCACTAGGTATCCATCTTGATCTAACAATGCAACCCGAGCAAAGACAAAGTGCTGAAACCTGTTGAACAACTCTTCTGAGCCGATGACCATGTGCTCTACCCTTGTCCAATGCCACTGAAGCTGTTAGGGAGTCAGTCAAAACAAGATGTCTCTTGCCAAAATCGCTAACCCTCCTCAATGCATGCTTCACTGCAAACAAAGATGCTCGAGCCTCGTACACCGGCATGGATTCGTGCTGCAACCACTTGCTCCACCCCACGACCTGCCAGCTCCGATCAACAGCCCAAAAACCAACTGTCTCAAATGTGTGCTTGTC